AAGAGTGTCTTGCTAACTTCTGTGATTGTTTGGTGTCTGAGCAGCCCTGTTCTGGACCTTTCCCCCGGCAAGGGAGCATAACACAGAGGACACTGTCCTTCTCTCACCACGGAGGAAACCTCCAGCTCTCAGAGGCACTGTGAAGGCTGTTGACGTCAGTGACAGGGAAATTCCAGTAGCAGACACCACTCAGTGGGAGCAGAGAACTTATGAATGAGCCAGGAGTCAAAGAAGTGCCATGTCCCTGAGTGACAAAGGCCAGGAACAAGTGGCAGCCCAAACTGATTCAGAGGTACATACAGCAACTCTTGGGCACTCAGAAATACTTTAGGGAGGTGGGGCTTTTACGAGAGGACAAAGTTCCTGTATGAACACAAAGGTCTTGGTAGCAGGTGGGATTTCAGAATTAATGTTGTTATTGCTGAGACTTGGGGACATGAGTCCCACAAGATTTTGGCCAATATAAGACACCAAACAGGAGAATATAAATATACTAAGGAAAAATTGAGTATTTTATTGAGCTAGACAGTAAGCCCCCAAAAGGCAGGGACATTTTTTGTACCCCTTTGGGCTACATATAGAGAATAGACTCAATCTGTATTGATTTATAAGAATTCCTGGTCCATTAAGTCCACAATTCAAGACTTTGTGAAATATTGTTACAAAATAAATTCTCACTTTTGGAGATGCAAAGAGCATGCTGCATCCCTGAACAATTTGTTTTACCAGCAATGACATCCTCAGCAGCTTCAGAAAACTAGTACTGGCCTCCTCCCAAATAAGGCAGGCAGCCTCTACGGCGGCTCCCAGCAATACCCCCAACCCTGATACTGATGCCTTGGTGTAACCTCCTCCTTTTGAGTGCGAACTGGGCCTAGTGACTCATTTCTAATGAATATAGCAAAAGTTATGGGATGTTACTTTGAGATTAGTTATAAGAAGACTGACTTCCATCTTTTTTTTTTTTTTTTTTACGGTACATGGGCCTCTCCCTGTTGTGGCCTCTCCTGTTGTGGAGCACAGGCTCTGGACGTGCAGGCTCAGCGGCCATGGTTCACGGGCCCAGCTGCTCCACAGCATGTGGGATCCTCCTGGACCGGGGCACAAACCCGTGTCCCCTGCATCGGCAGGTGGACTCTCAACCACTGCGCCACCAGGGAAGCCCCTGACTTCCATCTTACTTGCCATTTTTTGAGCTCTCTCCCTTTCTCTTTCTCTCTCTCTCTGAATCAAAGGCACTCACCTCACATCTAGATTCTGAATAAAAGGCATGCACCCCATATCCAGATTCCTGACTTCCAGAAACTGTGAGATAATAAATGTTTGCTGCTTTAAGCTGCTAAATTTTGGGACAATTTGTTATGCAACATAGATGACTGATACACTAAATGTTAGGCCCTGTGCAAAGAGACTTGAGGTATCATCTACAAAGGTCTTCAAATGTCTTCTGCCTTCATTCAGCATCACAGATCATCCCATATTTTCAAAAAGGGTGATGCCATAGGTGTTTCTTGGCTATTGTCACACATTTCATTGTTACTCCACTGTCACTTTAGAAGATTCTTCCTTAAAATTAACTGAAATCCTTCAAACTGTCATTTAATACTTCCCGTTGTAAGAATAACTGGAATAAATGAAAAACAGAAGACCTAAGCAGAACACACTGACAATAGATAGCCTACATATGACTCTTGACAGCAAGAAGGAAAAAAAGTGAGCATTGAGCACTCAAGCCATGTGAGCAGTGTCCACCAAGACAGCACCCACTGTGTGAAAAGTGTGTGGAAAGAAGAGTAAAGAGATCAAAAGAAAATGATGAGAATGCCCATGAGGCAGGTGAGGATCTGCCTACAAGGGCAGCCAAGCCCTGGGAATGGTAGTCATGAGAGCCTGCTAACCCTGTAAGCCCCTGAAACTTACATGAAACAGACAAAAACATTTCAAGCAATGCCAGCCTGCTCAGCCAATGGGCTCAACACCAAGGGGTAATAGACAATAGGTGTCCCAAATCCAGCAAAGTCATAAAACTCCCAGAAATCACAGTGCTCTAATAGTAGTCATCCCTGTACAAAACTAAAGCTATCCTGGCACAGTACAAGGAAACAAAACAGGTCAAGAACAAAAGGACAAAGATAGGATTTGAACTTCGTCTTCCAGCCTCATGAGCTATTATCAGCTTCCTAGAGAGGGACAATCAAGGGTCAATTGCAGGATATCTGACATTGGGTGTGAATGTTTGTTTAACTTATGTAGCAAGTTTGATGGGATTTTACCTGTCACTGAGTTTGTTGAAGGCAAATAAGAATCTATGGAGAAACCTTGCAGGGGCTTCCCTGGTGGCGCAGTGGTTAAGAATCCGCCCACCAATGCGGGAGACGCAGGTTGGGGCCCTGGTCCGGGAGGATCCCATGTGCCACGGAGCTACTGAGCCCGTGTGCCACGACTGCTGAGCCCACGTGCCACAACTACTGAAGCCCATGAGCCTGGAGCCTGTGCTCTACAACAAGAGAAGCCACCACAACAGGCATGCACACCGCAACGAAGAGTGGCCCATGCTCTCCACAACTGGAGAGGGCCCACGCACACCAATGGAGACCCAATGCAGCCAAAAATAAATAAAATAGATGAATTATTTAAAAAAAAAAAAAAAAAAGAATCTGCTTGCCTATGCAGGGGACACAGGTTCGAGCCCTGGTCCGGGAAGATCTCACATGCCGCAGAGCAACTAAGCCCGTGTGCCACAACTACTGAGCCTGCGCTCTTGAGCCCATGAGTCACAACTACTGAAGCCCGTGTGTCACAACTACTGAAGCCTGCTTGCCTAGAGCCTGTGTTCCACAACAAGAAAAGCCACTGCAATGAAAAGCCCTCACACCACAACCAAGACTAGCTCCCACTCGCTGTAACTAGAGAAAGCCGGTGCACAGCAATGGAAGACCCAACGCAGCCAATAAATAAATAAATAAAATCTAAAAAAAAAACCTTGCAAAGAGATAACCTTATACATGTATACAGGATACTGGTGTAAATGGTTACAGTGATAGTGGTAGTGGTAAGGGTGGCAGTAGTAGTAGTAATAGTAGTGGCAGTAACAGTGCTAGGAGTAGGGGTAGTAGTTATAAAATGTCCAATTTTGAAAAACTCTTCCCAGATATTGCTTGAAATTAAATACTATACCTATGTGAGTCCCAAAGTCTAGTCTACCTCTATGCTGTGCTGGGCATGGACCACTGATCCCCAATCAGGTTTACCTGCCCACCTTTTACCTGACAAAGAGGAGAAAGGGATTACAGAGTTAACATAGGGAGGACAGATACACGGTTTCTTACCTATTTGTTCATTCTCCTGGACCTCAAGTACAGTCACTGTAGATGGACATGTAGGTGGATTATCATTAATGTCTTTAACTTTCACTTGAATTTGCAATGGAAATGCGAGTGGTTTTCCATGCTCATCGCTTGCAACAGCATAAAAAACATACTACAATGAGATCAGAGTTAAGATGTGAATCCTTCATCCCCTTTAAAAGGCAGAGAAAACAACTATTTCAATGCTCTTTCATTTATCCCCTTATCATCAATTCGCTTAGAATTGGGAAATGAGAAAATATAAAATGGGCTGAATTTGGGAGGGTATTTTCATGTCTTTGAGAGCAATAATGCACTGAGGTTCAGAACACAGTTTGGGGGATATTGGTGGGGGGCTGGGTGTTAAGTAAAATCGTTTCTGCTCTCAGATATCCATGGACCCAGGATCTCATCACCTGTGAAACTCCTACTAATATTACTCACTGCATCCTTTTCTTCTCGGTCCAAGGGCTGAGTCACATAGATATCTCCTTCCTGGTTGATTAAAAATGGGAATTTTGGTGGCTTCTCCTTGTCCACTAATGAATATAGTGCCCCTGGCTCATTCCACCGCACCTACAGGGCCCAAAGTGAATTGTTAGGAAAGATACATCCAGACAGAGAGAACTGGAAAGGAAATAAACAATTTTCTGGTTCTCGATTTGAAATTTCTGACAACCTTGTTTAGATGTCTGTGGTTTCTTATAACTACTAAATTACATTTTTCGTTTTCAGCTTAAAATAATCCTTCCCCTTTTTTCTCCTTTGTACTAAGTTATATTGCTCCAAATAAGCACATAGGGGTATTTTGCTTCTCTAAAGCAATTCTTTGTGAACCCTCTAAAGAGTTTGTGGGTTGTTCTTTTGAAAGCTCGAATGTGAAGACTTCATGTCATGAAACACCAATTTAAGAAACAAAATGTACTTAGTAGCGGCATTATCTGAGCACTAAGCCATGATGGATGCCAAGCTCCCAGAACTCACCAGTGAAGATGATGAGACACTTTCAGTTCTTCACCATGCTATTATTTAAGCAAGACAAATGACACATAAATAAAGAACATTCCTCCCCTAAGTCTTTAGTCTTAAAGACTTCAGGGATAAGAATATTTGCCAACAGACTTCCCTGGGTGCGCAGTGGTTAAGAATCTGCCTGCCAATGCAGGTGACACGGATTCGATCCCTGGTGAGGGAAGATCCCACATGCTGTGGAGCAACGAAGCCCATGCACCACAACTACTGAGCCTGCACTCTAGAGCCCACAAGCCACAACTACTGAAGCCCGCACACCTAGAGCCCATACTCCACAAAAAAAGAAGCCACCTCAATGTGAAGCCTGTGCACCACAACAAAAAGCAGCCCCCACTCACCACAACTAGAGAAAAGCCCGCGTGCAGCAACAAAGACCCAACGCAGCCAAAAAGAAATAAATTAACTAATTAATTACTTTTTTAAAACAAAGAATATTTGCCAACTCCTAGAGTTGTTTTGTAAACAACTTGGCAAAAAAAATCAATAAAGTGGTGCTGGGAAAACTGGACAACTACACATAAAATAATTAATTTAGAACACTTCCTAATACCATACACAAAAATAAACTCAAAGTGGATTAAAGACCTAAATGTAAGGCCAGACACTATAAAACTCTTAGAGGAAAACATAGGCAGAATACTCTATGACATAAATCACAGCAATATCCTTTTTGACCCACCTCTTAGAGAAATGGAAATAAAAACAAAAATAAACAAATGGGAAAGGAAACCATAAACAAGACAAAAAGACAACCCTCAGAATGGGAGAAAATACTGCAAACCAAGCAACTGACAAAGGATTAATCTCCAAAATATACAAGCAGCTCATGCAGCTCAATATCAAAAAAATAAACAACCCAATCTGAAAATGGGGAGAAGACCTAAATAGACATTTCTCCAAAGAAGATATACAGACTGCCAACAAACACATGAAAGGATGCTCAACATCACTAATCATTAGACAAATGCAAATCAAAACTACAATGAGGTATCACCTCACACTGGTCAGAATAGCCATCATCAAAAAATCTAGAAACAATAAATGCTGGAAAGGGTGTGATGAAAAGGGAACCCTCCTGCATTGTTGGTGGGAATGTAAATTGATACAGCCACTATGGAGAACAGTATGGAGGTTCCTTAAAAAACTAAAAATAGAACTACCATATGACCCAGCAATCCCACTACTGGGCATATACCCTGAGAAAACCATAATTCAAAAAGAGACATGTACCACAATATTCACTGAAGCACTATTTACAATAGCCAGGACATGGAAGCAACCAAAGTGTCCATTGATAGATGAATGGATAAAGAAGATGTGGCACGTATATACAATGGAATATTACTCAGTCATAAAAAGAAACAAAATTGAGTTATTTGTAGTGAGGTGGATAGACCTAGAGACTGTCATACAGAGTGAAGTAAGTCAGAAAGAGAAAAACAAATCCCATACGCTAACACATGTATATGGAATCTAAGAAAAAAAATGGTTCTGATGAACCTAGGGGCAGGACAGGAATAAAGACACAGAAATAGAGAATGGACTTGAGGACACGGGGAGGGGGAAGGGTAAGCTGGGACGAAGTGAGAGAGTAGCATGGACATATATACACTACCAAATGTAAAATAGATAGCTAGTGGGAAGCAGCCGCATAGCACAGGGAGATCAGCTCCGTGCTCTGTGACCACTGTAGAAGGGTGGGATAGGGAGGGTGGGAGGGAGGTGTAAGAGGGAGGGGATATGGGGATATAAGTGAATATAGCTGATTCACTTTGTTATAAAGCAGAAACTAACACGACATTGTAAAGCAATTATACTCCAATAAAGGTGTTTGAAAAAAAAATCAGTAAACTCAATAGTAAGACCTGTCTACTTGCTACAGAGAGAGCCTGGCCTATCTGATAGTCTAGTACTAATAACAACACGTACTGAGGGTTTTACGCCATTCCAGAAATAATTCTAAACACTTTTATATGTTATCTCATTAAATCCTCAAACAGCCCCATGAGGTAGAGACTATTGTTATCCCCACCTTATAAATGGGGAAACTAGGGCACAAAAATTTAAGTGACTTGCCTATAGTCTTACAGCCATTTGAAAGTTCCACACTAAACTATTCTCTCAAACCAGCTTGGGAAGGGTATCCCTTTCTAGTTATTTAAGCACACCATCTGTCCAAGACAAAAACCATGTTCTTAGTTGTAAGTGAGCTCCTTTGATGCCCTAAAAATTCAGCCTAAGTTCTCTCTTGAGCTGTCCCCCTCCATTCTTATTCAGTTTCAAGCCACTCAAAGTACCTTCCCCAGGCCTAGGTATTGGGTGTGGCTCTTTAGATTTTCTTTTCTTTGACAGCCCTAAGTGAAAACAAGTGTATGTGTTCTTTTTAGCATTTACAAATCCTTATGAAGGTAACCTAAACAATAAACAGGAAGACTTTAGTAAAGGAACCCAATCTGAAATTCTCACGGTAAAGAGTCCTGACATAGTTTCTTAGCTGGTAAAGCAGAATATTTCTTGCTTTCATTCTTTTTTTTTCCTCTGAAAGTGAAATTCATTAATTCAACGTTTAATAAATAAAAATCCTTTTAAGTTAGACAATAGATATGGTGGGATAGGCCATTCCAGGACCCCTTAACAACAACAGTGTCATCTAAAAAAAATTAGGGCTACTACAGACTACAACTCCTTCATAACATTAATACCTTTTATTCACTTCCACAGATACTAATTACTTTCCACAACAACCCAAAGATCTGTTATTATCCCCGTTTTATTGGTGAGAAGTTGGGGCTCATAACAGCTTATCTGCTTCTAAATCCAGTGCTCTCCCACTAACTCACAGCTTTTGCGCCAAGAAACTTCCTGATCAGATCTGGGTGAACCCCAGAGTGGATTTCCAGGAGCTAAAGAAAGAGGAGGGGGCTCAGGATGAACACCAGCCATAGAGGTGGGACCGGGGGAGGGTTTGGATGGAGGGGAGAGGTACCCACAGGAGATGGAGTTGGCAGGGGTGGGCTCCAAGGGTAAAGGTCGTCTACTCAGCTTTTACACTTGACCAGTCTTATCTCTGTTCCTCAGCCTGTGATGGGTTGAGTCTTTCGCATAGAGATTTTTCCCAAAGGAATAACAGCCTTTCAAAAATAATTTGCAGCCCCAAATTTGAATCATGTACATGTACCTTATACAGCCCACTCTAGGGCAGCCATATCCTACACTCTTGACAGGGAACAACAGTATTATCTACTTGGAAGGTGAAGGTGAGTGAAGTTCTCTTTTAAAACTCATATATATATATACACACATATATATATATGAATCCAAGTTGTAAAGTCCAGAGTTTACCCATGATGGCAAACTCCAGAGACTTGAGGCCAGACACCTTGTCTATTTAGTTTGCTTCATAATGATGCTATGCAGAAATGTCAGTGAAGACCATGAGGGTGGGCCCCTACAATGTGAGTGCTGATTGACTGGCATTCCTTGGGCACTACCTGAGTGATTTTAATGGGGTAAGGATTAGTTGAATTTTCTTCAATCTCCACTGGTTCTGGTGTTTTCCAAATATTCTCCTTCACCATAATATCCACATATGTGCTGTCACTAAAGGAATGCTCATTCTGGCCTCCCATGTCCTTCACTGAGACCACCAGGTTGTAGGAAGGATTCTTCAAAGGATCCAGTTCCTGGGATCCTATGGGAAGTAGAAGAGAAAAGAAAAGGAAATGTCTCTGAAGGTGATACAGATCTAGGTCCTTTTTACTGCCTCAGAGAGTCATATGAGGGCATCACTTAACTTACCTTCTAGAGTAAGTGAAATTGCCCCCGTTTTGTTGTTGATCTGAAAGTACATGACATTGTTGACCTTGGGAAGCTGCATGATAATTTGATAAATAAGCTGGCCATTGGGTGTGGTTGGATCATCCAAGTCTGTAGCATTGACATACATAAAGGGCTTTCCTGTTTAACAAAATATACCCAGAAAAAAAAGATATTAATTGAAACCCAAACCAACCACAGACACATTTGCCTTCTAAGAGGCAGAAATAGAATGGAGGAAGGTGCCATAATTCATATCAGTGGTGGAATAATTCTTTATTCTGCCCCTTTCCTCTAGGATGAGGTTTCTTAAAGTATGGTCCAGGGACCTCTAGAGGTCTTTGAGACTGTTTTTAGGGTCATACATGTGTGAAAGACCCATTCAAATCATAACATAAGGGCTTCCCTGGTGGTGCAGTGGTTGAGAGTCCGCCTGCCGATGCAGGGGACACGGGTTCGTGCCCCTGTCTGGGAAGATCCCACGTGCCACAGAGCGGCTAGGCCCGTGAGCCATGGCCTCTGAGCCTGTGTGTCCGAAGCCTGTGCTCCGCAACGGGAGAGGCCACAGCGGTGAGAGGCCCGCGTACCGCAAAAAAAAAAAAAAAAAAAAAAAAAAAATCACAACATAATTTGATGGATTTTAGCATAAAGGAGTATCCCAGAAAAGGCATTAATATGGTTTCAGATTCTACATTGAAAATAGCATTTAAGAAACCACCACTTCTTGAGTTTTGGTCTATTATCAAAGAATATCCACAGTTATCTGAAGCGTTATTAGACTATTTACACTGTGCAAGGAGAGTTTTTCTTTAAATGTTTCAACCAAAACAGCATATGGCAACAAAATGAATGCAGAAACAGAAATGAGAATCCAGCTGTTCTCAATTAATCCAGACATTAAAGAGATGTGCAAAGATTAAAAGAATGCCATTCTTCTTAACATTCCTTTTGTCTTTGAAAATAGTTATTTTTATTAAAATATGCTTATTACTTTAAATCAATCACTAAATAAATGTTTTTTAATTTCTCAGTTTCAATTTCAAATACAATAAATATTGATAGATATAACCAGTGACGTATTGGAGTCAACTCGTGAGACCTAGTTGAATTTTCAGAAATTTTGTGAGCCAATTATTAACACCAGTGGTAGCTTAAAATAGGTTATGGTGAGAGTACTTATACCACAGAAATTGACAAATTCTACAAATCAGGGTTTTTTCTCCCCGGAGAGACAGCTATTAAAATTTACTAGCACACCACTGGATATAACCAAAAGTTCCTTGGAGTCCACAATAGTTTTTATGAGAATACAAGGGGCCTGAGACCAAAAAGTTTGAGAATCACTGAATTAGATAAACCTTATTGGTAAAGAATAAGACCTGGAAGATTATTACTTGGCAGAGTTTAGTGGTGAGCCTTCGGTATGCAACCTCAGGGACAGAGACACGTGAAATTGCTCCACATAATAAAGTGGAAGGAATATTCTTCCTGAGTTATTGGAAGTGGGCATTAAAGAGTGAGAGATAGCGATTAAGTGACACAGAGGGAAGTTTGACAGTGAGTTGATGGAAATGGCCAAAAGTCTTTCTGAGAACTCACAGTCTAATATTCATGTTTATTTTGTGCACTGTTATGACATGATGCTCCTTCATTCCTCTAAATCTTCAGTAAAGCCTGCCACACACACCTATGCTTTGATGAGGGGCTTTTGTAGAAATGAAAAGTAAAAGAGTGAAGGGATGAGTCATAGCTAGGAGCTGAAGTCAGAGAAGAAAAAGAACTGGAAGCCAGCAGTGACCATGAGAATGTGGATTTCTGGGAGGATGTGGGAGAGTAAGCTTACCTTTCCAGAGTGTTCTAGAGTGTTCTAAAGCTGTAAGGCATTCTAAATTCTCACCCTAAAATGGTGATTCTTAACTAGGGGTGATTTTGCCCCCCAGGGGACATTTGGCGATGTCTGAAGACATCTTTGCTGTCACAATTTGGAAGGGAAGTGTTGCTCCTGGCATCTGGTGCATTGATAGATGTCAGGGATGCTGCCTAACATCCTATAATGCACAGAACAGCCCCTAACAAAAAAAGAATTATCAGCCCCAAGATGTCAATAGTGCCAACGTTGAGAAGTTGTGTCCTAGAGCAGTGGGGATAATAAAACAACTCCCAGAGGATTGCTGTGAAGTTTAAATAAGATAAATAAAATTTAAATAAGATGGTAAGTACTTAATGAATGCTAGTTACACATGTTAGCCACACAAATCTGCCCCTCTGTCTGTTACACTTCCATCTTTCCACAGATATCTCCAGGCTCCTGCCTATTACCTGGGCGAGAATTCTGCCTTACTGAGCCTTCATACTTTGGCTGGAGAAACACAGGTCGATTGTCATTGATGTCCTTCACTTCTATGGTGATGGGGACTGGGCCCTCCACTGTATTGCCATGAGCATCCAGGGCTGAGACCTGATGTTGACAGGAAAAGAAAACCTCCTTGGTGAGTCTAGACCTCATATCACACACTCAAAATCACTTGAAAGAAATGAGCCCAAATAACCAATAACCTGGTCACTACAGGGGAGAAAGACACCCATAAGAGCCCAAATTGGGAGCTGCTAAAATAGAGGCCCTATCAGTTAAACCAATCTAATCATGACTGTGTTTTTCCAGCAGTTGGGTTGGCTGGACACGGGACATGCTTTTTTTCTAAATAGTTGGAATCAGTAAAATAAGAACACTTTGACCCTTGAGGGTATGAAAATATGTCCTGTTACAGAGGCATTTTAGTGGTTGATCTGCAGAGCGAGTAGTAAAATTTAAACAGAAAGCTTCTGGCTTGCTGTTTTCCCCACAATTAGCTCTCTATCATTCAGATAGAGGTACAAACCATGAAAACTAAGGGGGAAAGAGAGAGAGAAGGGTCTCTCTAGGCAGCCTCTGACTTTGGTCATTGATTACTTCTGCTTCTTGGAAGGCCCAAAGGAGCTCCATCTAGTACCAGTGCCGCCTTCTTTGTGGGTCCAGAGCCCACCCAACAGCCATAGGCAGACACCAGTGAAATATCAGAGAAGTACTGGCTAGTTTTGATCCAGGTGCCATCATTTTGATCCAGGTGCCATCCAGGTTTCCACTCATTTGGATGAGTAATGCCATCTAAGAGCCTTAGCAATATAAATTGGGTTACTCTGGTCATAAAGCCTAAAAAAGAGGACACCTTTGCCACACGCCTCTCTAGTTGTTAAAAAATAAAATTAAATTTAAAAAGACAAATGAGATTTGCAAAGCATGTCATTAGTGTCAGGAGAGCTGAAACAGGATTCTGTGCTAGGAAAGAAGGCGCCAGTGATACTTCCAGGACAAAGAGTGCTCAGAGAGATTAGAGTTAGTGTCCTTTGTCTGGTCTCAGTTCACCTGGAGTGTGTGAACAGCTCTTGCTTCCCTGTCCAGGGCTTTGCTGTGATACAGAAGTCCATCTGGTTGTATCTGAAATATGTCATCTGTCTCCCCAGTTAGATTGAAAGTCACAGCAAGAGGACTGGCCTTAAACTGGGAAAAAGCAAACATTAGATTAGGTTGTAAGGAAAAACAATGTTGTAGAATTTTAGTAAGTCACCAATTTCAGGTAACGTTTTCATTTGTACAATCACTAAAATAAGAAATTCTAAGCTTTTAAAGTGATACATTCTAAAAGTCTGCTTGAACGTTAGCTATGTACATTCAAAATACATTTTCCTCAAGAAACAATCTGTGACATAATTCAGTACATTGACGAAAGCCAATAGATGCTTTAAATTGTAGCTAAAGTTAGATGAGATTTTTCTGGGAATATCGGAAAGCTATAATACTACTAGCTTTTAAGTAACATTAAAAAGGGTAGCTTCATTGCTAGGATAAAAAAGATGTCATTTAGTACTTCTACAAATTGTGACAAAGATTAAAAGACATTTTAATATTAAGGAAAACAACTTAAAAGTGGCTTTAATTGATAAAGTTCGATATGACAATCTCACTTACTTTTTCAGAAGTAAAGAAAATACCAATGATTATTCATGGGATAGCTATAATACTTTTAAGACCACAAAATAGAAAATTCACATAAAATAAAGCAGATGTAAAAGTTGTTCAACCTCATTAATAATTTTTAATATATTTTTTATATTAAAAAAATAAAAACTAATCGTCAATGTTGTAAAGGATGTAAATAAACACACATATTATTGATGAAAATATAAATTAGTATAATCCTTTTGGAAATAACTTGAGGCATAAAATGTTTGTAGCCTTTGATAGCAAATATTACTAAATATAATTTATTCTAAGGAAATATTTTTTAAACAATAAACTGCATGCTTGTAGTATAGTAGCCTACAATACTGGTAAAGTTGAAAACTCCTAAATGGTCAAAAAAAGAAAGGTATAAAATTATATAACACATAAACTTAATGAATTTTAAGCATTAAAATGTTCATTCTATAAATTATGAATCAGCAAAAGAACAATGATATGGTGTAAAGTAACAAAAGGAGAACATGAGTAAGTCTAGACAATGATTGTAACAGTACCAAGTGTATTCATGTCGGTTGGCAAGAAATGGAATTTAAAAAAAAACCAGCTGATGTGTTACATGGGTAGAACTGTGGCTTGCAAAATCCAAGGACTGTTTATTTAAGAAAATTACTGACTATCAGTTAGAACCAAGCTTTGTAGTTGCTTTGACTTGCCCTAATTCCATCATCCTTTCTCAGGATATGCAGTGGCCTTGAAAACCAACAGCCTCACAACCATGGTACTATGTAGGGGGTAGAAGGAGTTTGGAGTTTCCCAGAAGTCCTGTCCCCAAAGAACTGATATTATCTAACCTATCTGGAAGCTCCCTGGAAACACCTACTCATGCAGCTTGTCTTTATTTGACCCAACTCAGAGCTCACTCACTGCAAACAATTTTCTTCCTGGGGAATTTGTTGAAAATAATCATCAGCAGTTGCTTAACACTGCAGCTGCCTGAGACAGTGATAACAGTTGATGCAAATAAGGCTCTAACTAAAACACTTAAGGTAAAGCTTGAGAATGAGATGTCCCTTGCAGGGGCCAGGGGAGCATCAAAAATCTCCAATAGATTTCTGGGAGTCTAAAAGGCCACATTCATAAGTAGAGCTGTGCACATGCCCAGGAAAAACATTAGAAGGCCCTAATCTCTCACCTCTGACTGACCTTGAGGCTCTGTGCAAGCAGGAAGTAAAGGCTAAGGCAGAGTTGTAAACTGTTTGCCACATCTTTGAAGACGTACCCAACAAGTACACAGAGCCTGTTGGCAAAGGTTGGAAGACTTATTGATTCTAGGCTTGTAAGGAAATCTTAATTCAATCATTAGCTGAACACTAAGCTAACCAAACAGACTTCAGTGGCTACATATGGCAAAGAATACAGACTTTACAGAATTAATTCAGGAAAGTCATTAAACAAACAAACAGCAACAACAACAAATCCTGGGAAGACAATGGGATATGACTTCTGGCATTGCCACATCATATTATTTATAAAGTCCAGTTTTCAACAAATGATTGTGAGACATGCAAATAAAAGAAAAGTAAGGCCCATATATAGGAAAAATAGCAGTCAACAGAAACTGTCCCCAAGGAGGTCTAGATGTTAGACTTACTAAATAGGATTTTAAATTAACTATTTTAAACAGGTTCAAAAACAAAAGGAAACTATCTCTAAAGAACTAAAGTATGATAATGTCTCACCAAATAGAGAATATAAATAAAGACATGGGAATTATTTTTTAAAAAAACAAATAAGAATTCTAGAGTTGAAAAGCATAATAACTGAAATGAAAAATTCATTAGAAAAGACCCAACAGTAAGTCTCAGCTAGCAGGAGAAGAATTTGTGAATTTGATAATAGATCAATTGAGGTTATCCATCCTGACAGAAAGAAAGAAGAAATATTAACAGAACCCTAGAGACAGATGGAACATCATCAAGCAAACATGCATAATGAGAGTCATAGAAGAAAAGGAAAGAGTGAAAGGGACAGAAAGATTATTTGAAGAAAGACTAATCAAAAACTTCCCAAATTTGAGAAAAACATTAATCTATGCTTCCAAGAAGTTCACTGAACTCAAAATACAATAAACTCAAAGAGACTCAAACTTAGACTCATCATAATAAAACACAAAACAAATAAACAGGGACTTTTCTGGTGGTGCACTGGTTAAGAATCCACCTGCTAATACAGGGGACGTGGGTTCGATCCTTGGTCCAGGAAGATCCCATGTGCTGTGGAGCAACTAAGCCCACATGCCACAACTACTGAGCCTGTGCTCTAGAGCCTGCGAGCCACAACTACTGATCTGCGTGACACAATTACTGAAGCCCATGCACCTAGAGCCCATGCTCCACAACAAGAGAAGCCACTGCAATGAGAAGCCCACACACTGCAACGAAGAGTAGCCCCCACTCGCCGCAAATAGAGGAAGCCCATGTGCAGCAACGGAGACCCAATGCAACCAAAAATGAATAAATTTATTAAAGAAAAACAAAAAGAGAATTTGGAAGTGCAGAGACTCATCACATATGAAGGATCCTCAATAAACTGAACAGCTGATTTCTCTTGGAGGCCAGAAGACAGTGAAATGACATATTCAAAGTGCTGAAAGGAAAAGACTGCCAACTAAGAATTGTATATGCAACAAAACTATCCTTCAAAATCAGGGTGAAATTAAGCTATACTACTATTAGAACAAACAAACTTTAAGATAAAAATTATTACTAGAGAAAAAAAAGGATATTCTATACTGATACAAGGGTCAATCCATCAAGATTCTATAACAATTATAAACATATATGCACCTACCAACAGACCCCAAAATACATGGAGCAAAAACTGACAGAATTGAAGATAAAATATACAATTCAACAATAATAGTTGGTGACTTGAAAACTTCACTTCACTTTCAATAATGAATATAACAAACAGACAGAAGATCAACAAGAAAATAGAAGACTTGAAGAACACTGTAAACCAACTAGAAGCTAACAGACATCTATGGAACACTCCATCCAACAAAATCCTAACACACATTCTTCTTAAATATACATTAAACATTATCCAGGCTAGATCATATGATAGATCACAAAACAAGTCTCAATAAATTTAAAGCATTGAAATCATACAAAATATGTTCTCTAACCACAATGGAGAAACTAAAACCAAATAGCAGGAAATGTGGGAAAACCACAAATATATGGAAATAACAATACACTCTAATAACCAATAGGTCAAAGAGGGAATTAAAAGGGAAATTAGAATATACTCTTAGATGAATGAAAATGAAAACACAGCATACCAAACTTTATGGGATACAGATTAAGCAGTACACGGAGGCAAATCTATAGCTGTAAATGCCTATAAAAGAAGAAAATCTCAAATCAGTAATCTTCTACCTTAAGAGACTAGAAGAAGATGAATAAACTAACCCAAAGCAAGCAGAAGGAGATAAAGATTAGAGTGGAAATTAATAAAATGGAGAATACAAAAACAAAGGAGAAAATCAGCAAAACCAAAAGTTGGTCTTTTGACAAGATCAACAAAATGGACAAATCTTCAATTGGACTTACCAAGAAAAAAATAGACACAAGAGGGACTTCCCTGGTGGTCCAATGGGTAAGACTCCCTGCTCCCAATGCAGAGGGCCTGGATTTGATCCCTGGTCAGGGAACTAGATCTCGCATGCATGCCACTACTAAGAAGTCCACATGCTGCAACTAAGAAGCTCGTGCACCGCAACTAAAAAAAAAAAGATCCCACGTGCCAAAACTAAGACCCAGCACAGCCAAAATAAATAAATAAACAAATAAATATTTTTTTAAAAAACACAAGAATCAAACAACTAAAATCAGGAATGTAAGAGGGGACAGTACTACCAAACTTACGATATAAAAAGGATAAAATAGAATACTATAAGCAATTGTTTTCCCACAAATCAGACAACCTAAGTGAAATGGATGAATTCTTAGATAAAAACTACCAAAATTGACCAAAGAATAAGTAGAAAGTCTGAATAGAACTATAACAAGTAAAGAGCTTGAGCTAGTAATCAAAAAAATTCCCACAAAGTAAAGTCCAGGACCAGGTAACTTCACTGGTGAATTCTACCTAACAAGTATGGGAGAATTAACATCAAACCTTCACAAATGCTTCCAAAAAGTAGAAGAGTATGGAATACTTCCCAACTTATTCTATGAGGCCAGTGTCACCCTTATATGCAAAACAGAAAAAAAAAAAATAACACAATAAAACTACAGAGCAATATCTCATAAATATAGATGCAAAAGTTTTCAACAGAATACTAGCAAACTGAATCCAGCAACATATAAAAAGAATTATATATCATGACCAAGTGGAATTTATCTCAGAATACAAGGCTGGTTCAACATATGAAAATCAATTAATTTAATACCCCATATTAATAGAATAAAGGACAAAACCAGATGAGTATCTCTAGAGAGGCAGAAAATCATTTGACAAAATCCAGCATCCTT